AATTTTTTTTTTAATTTTATTAATGTTATTTTTAATTGTGTGTATATGTGCATGTCTATATTTTATTGTTTTTTTTATGCTAGTGTGGAGAGCATGTCCCTTCGTTCACCAAATAACCCTGGAGACATCAGCCCCCGACTGATGGACAATGAGAAAGCCAGAGACTGCATCATTCCCATGGGGTATGCATGTTATTCTTTTATACTGTTTTTATATTTACATTAAAATATACTTTTTTTTCTTAGTTTTCTGTGTGTTTTCTTTCAGAATAACCTCAGAGAACGTTGCTGAGAGATTTGGCATCACTAGGGAAAAACAGGACCGCTTTGCTCTCAGTTCCCAACAAAAGTAGTTGCTGCCATGACATTTATGGATAGTTTATACATTCTAGTTGTTGGTATTTAACAAAAATGCATTCAAAACAGCTCAAAGTACTAATTATTTGTGGACTTTTATAACACTAGGGCAGCCATGGCACAGAAAAAGGGCTTGTTTGAGCAAGAGATCACACCAGTCACTACTAAATTTGTAGACGAAAATGGAACTGAGCGCACGATTACTGTCACAAAGGATGATGGGATCCGGCCTGGGACTACCTTAGAAGGCCTTGCCAAACTGCGTCCAGCATTTAAAGAAACCGGCAGCACCACAGCGGGTGTGCATATGCAGAATTTTTAAAAAAAGAAATAGGACGTTAAATTTCATAACTCAGTTCTTCCGCTCCCATTGCAGGTAATGCCAGTCAGGTGAGTGATGGCGCAGCAGCGGTGCTAATTGGGCGGAGATCTACAGTGGAGAAACTGGGACTTCCTGTTTTTGGTGTGCTGAGGGCGTGCGCTGTGGTGGGTGTTCCACCAGACGTTATGGGCATTGGCCCAGCCTATGCCATCCCAGAAGCCCTCAACCAGGCTGGTGAGAGTACAGTTGCTCTCACTGTACCTCTAGGCTCAAATGAGCCATTTATATTCTAATAGTACTCATGCTTAAATGTATTGAAAGAGATCTCATTTTCATTATTCCAAAATAATGGTTGTAAATGAGGCGTGTTATTGCATTTGCTTGTGCAGGGCTGACTGTGGATGATATTGATGTGTTTGAGATCAACGAAGCATTCGCCAGTCAGGTGACTTATAGATTTTCTTGGATTTCCCTAAATTATTCCACTACTTTCCTGTTATTAAGAACAGCAGCTTTCCCAATTTTCCTAGGCTGTGTATTGTGTGGAAAAACTGGGCATTCCTATGGAGAAAGTGAATCCTAATGGAGGAGCCATTGCTCTTGGTCATCCACTGGGCTGCACTGGTGCTCGACAGGTCGTGACTGTGCTCAATGAGCTCAAACGCAGACGCAAGAGGTGAACGCACATAAAAAAATCATACAGAAGGGTCCTATGAAATATCCCCCATCCCCCTAAATTCTGTTTATTTTTCACAAATTCTGACTTTTCCATTTGAATTTTTCTGGATTCCATTCTACAATAAATTCAGTTTTTATGTCTGAATTCCACGATTCCATCCCTTTTTTCCCACTGCTGAAATAATATGGCCCTAATACATTACTTTAAGCCTAACTATACAGGCTTTAATCTTGGAAATAAAAAAGATTATTCCTTTTCCCACTTACAGTGTAGTGTTTTTTGTTGCAGAGGGTATGGCGTGGTGTCCATGTGCATTGGGACTGGAATGGGAGCGGCTGCAGTTTTCGAGTATCCTGGCCAGTGATAAAAGCCCTAGCGCAAAATCCCAAGATGCAGATCTCCAGATGACACACAGCGAAACTAACAAGTCACAAATTCTTTTTAATCAAGCTGCTAGAAGTCTTAACTGTAAACACAAGCAGAAAGAGTACACGTCTTATTTAGTGCGTATCAGTGGGTGTTTGCCTTACTTTTGAGGATGTTCAACATTCAGATCTCTCTTTAAAGTGCCTTGCATTTCAACTGTGATAACAGATCAAGGAAACAAACATGCTTGTATCTGTAAGAGCTTTTTAAATAAAAAAATAAGTTTTGTTGAGGACCAGTGTAATTTGCAAAGGTTTGTAATGCATCTCATTTGTTAGAATAAAAATGATTTATTATGCATGAAACGTGTGTGTTAAAATGCTAGGTATACTACCTTTCAAAAGTTTGGGCTCAGTAAGTTTTTTTTTTTAAAGAAATTAATATATTTATTCAGAAAGGATGCATTTAATTGATCAAAATATTTATTTTTTTAAATAAAAGCAGTTCTTTTGAACTTTCTATTCATCAAAGAATCCTGAAAAAAA